ACTCAAAACCCAAGACCCCAAACCTCGAAACCCTTACCAAGGCACTACTAGAGTACAGGTGGGGTTGCATAGGGCATAATGGAAAAGAAACTGGCAACTACTAAAGTATTTTTTGGCCCAAACAAACCTCCCCTAAACCCTAAACCTTGGGTCATTCCCCCTTACAGTAACTGTTACCACAATGGGTTATAGGAGTTATAAGAACCCCTTTAATAAGGCCCCTTTAAGGACAGTTACTGGGAGGGGGACTGACCCAACCTAAACCCCAAAACCTCAAATGTGTCTGCCTCTGCATTACCGTGGCTGAAGAGCAGTGTGAACTTGGCGTCCCTGAGCCATCAGGGGTGGAAGGCTGTTTAGCAGACTAGGGTTTAGGGTTTAGGACTTAGGGATTAGGGTTTAGGGGGTTAGGGATTAGGGATTAGGGATTAGGGTTTAGGGTTTAGGGTTTAGGGGGTTAGGGGATTAGGGGGTTAGGGGGTAAGAGTTCGGGGTTTGAAATGGTTCGGCATTTGGGCTTTCCCAAAAAAATGATCTACCTGTGCGGGCTCGTGCTGAATCATCGCAAAACGGAGATCCAACATCCGTGTTGCAGCCACACAAACAATGAAGCCATGACTTTGAACCGCCTGAGCCCTGAACCCTAAACCCTGAACCCTGAGCCCTGATCAAATCCCAAAACTGGGATTTACCAACATTAGGGTCCTTACATGTTGGGTCTACCGTGGATGGGAAACCCATGGCTGGCAGCACCCGACAGCCACAACCCGGACCCCGCGCCCAAAAAAAAAAATCAAAAAACGCAGCAACTTAATTTCTCTTCTTCCCCCTACAAACATCTTAACTATAGTGCAATATACCCGAGAACCCTTTTCCACTATTATGTGCTCATAGTTTTTACGTAAGTATGGGAAATCGTGACAGCAAAAAAAATTAAACCCTCAGCTCTGGAGAGTTTTATAGAAGAAGAATAACATCCTCTGGATAACTTCCGAAAATATTCCTTAATTTAGGGGGCGCCCAGGGCGAGTAACGCAGACAACGTGAAAAGAGAGTTGCGAAACGGTCGCTGGCGCGCGCGCGCGCAGCACGCCCCCCCCCTTCCCTACCGCCTTCGTACCCCCTAGCGCACTGGGCCAGCATCATCAGCATCATTGGGACTCTGCT